ACCTCAACACTGAAGTAAACTACTACTTCAATGCTGCTGGAACTGCTTGGGACCCAGTTAAGTTCACATGCGAAAAGTTTGAATGCAAGAGAATAGAAAGCAGACTTGCAGTCTATATGTTGGACCCAGATATTTCAAATGCTTTAGCTGCCAAATATATTGCAGTTCCACTTATGTTCCCTATACACCAAATATCTGTCAAAGACTTTGCAGGTGAAGTTGGAAACCAAAGTGCTGACCCAGGTGCAAGAACAGATATTGCTTTAACAACTGCAATGAAACATGCAGATACTATGTTTGTACTGTTCAGACGAACTATAAATGACTATTCTTGCTTCTACAACCCTGGTATTAAATACCATATAAACATAGATGGCAAATATTATCCAAGAGAAGAATATTCTACAGTTGAGGATATGAGGTCATACAACTTGACATTAGATGCTATGAACTTTAACAACAACTTCACAACAACCATTAACCCTGAAATGCAAAGTTCTATTATGCCATATGTGAAAGTATGGACTCATACAGGAGGTCAAAAAACTCAATATACAAATGGAGACCGTTCAAACTTTTGGCTTGGCATTCCATTTGCTGACTCAGAAGACTTTATGGGTGGTATTTCAACTGTTGGTACAGTTCAAATACAATATACTGGTGACAGAGACGGTCCAAATGAATTGAAAGCAAAGAAGTTTACAAAACCAATAGCACTTTTCACGGAAGATGCTCTTTTGAAAATTCGTTCGATGAAACCTGCTGGGGCTCCTCAGATTGGTATAACGACAGCTTCCATCGAGCAGATTTTGGCAGCAGGTCAGTAAGTTGTTCTTGAACTGACTTCTCTCCGTCAAATATTGACAGTACGCCAGTTTTGATATAAATTGTATTATAAACTTACCTTTAGAAATATCGGTCAGTTTTGTTGTTATATTTTTGTCTGCTTCAAGAACTTTCACCATTTCAGTTATACCAACTTTCTTTGCTTTATGAAAATATTTTGGTTCAGCAAAGACTGCTATTCTATAACATTTTCCATTGTTTGTGTAAAGAACTACTCTGTCAATGAACTTGTATTGTTTGTGTGTGTAAACTTTGTTTGCTTCAATTCGAAGAGATACTCAAATACGTCCATCTTTTTATTCTAAGTAAAATGTCATTTCCGAAAAATAGAAGCGTAAGTGTTTCAAAAGGTTTAATGGCGGTGGCAGATGTGAAGTTAAATTCACCAACTCAAACAAACAGTCAAAGTGTTGTTGTCAATGTCAAAGAAAGAGATGTTGAAGTGGGGAAACCATACGAAGACGAAGATGGTATAACAATAGTTCCTGTAAAAGAACAACCAACATACCCTGAAGTTAGCAGAGACTTAAGTTCTGTTGCAGATATTCGAAACGACTACCAACAACTTAAAGACAAACTTAAAACTCAGGAGAAGATTTGTCAAGCTTTGGGTATAATGTTAAACTTGGTCGAACACAACCCTGTAAAAGTGAACTCATATGTCATTGCACCTCATGAAATTTTGAAAGAACTATTGAAACTTTTGACAGAGGCAGACGATATAAACATCAAAGAAATAGAACCCGACATTGCTTGCTGTGGTGTTTCATATAATGTCATTGACAAGATATACGTTATGAAAGGAGGTGAAACGTTGAACTTAAAATATAGTTTCCCAGACGTCATAAAAATATTTGACGACCACAACATTTCATTAAAATTTAGTTGCTAAGTAAAAATGGCAGAAGACACAATGGTTTATACTATTACGACTAAAAACCCTGAGTCATATAATTCTATAACAACAAACTTACAAAGTCCTCAAGGACGATATTGTAAACTGACCTTAAACACGATGACGACTAAAGCCTGTTTTGCTCTTTTGACACCAGAAGATTTTATTGTTGTGAATGGTAAAAAATACTCCTTTGAAGATACTTACTCAGATATACCACCAACAGGTTTTGTTGACTTATTTAATACTTTAAGGACGGATGTAACATGTGCTGCAACTAGAGCAGGTTTCATTATGTTTGGATGTCCGACCGAGTTTAGTATAAACGATATGAGCTATAATACAAAACTTATATCTGGTTTTTACTACCAACAGTTTCCTATAACAGGAAAAGGTGTCATACAAGGAATGTCTGTTCCATTGACTTTAAGTACACCTATTTTATATATTGTTTCAAACTTAGGTTCAAAGTGCTATTCGAATGTCGACAGAAACTACTATGACCAAAAGATACTCATGCGTATAAACAACACTTTCTCTGCTGGTTTGCCTATTGTTCATTCGAATGCAGATTTTCAGCTTTAGTAAACTCAAACACTTTAGCAAACATAAACTTAACCTTAGTGACGCAAACTTTGTTCCTGTAAAACTTTTATGTCCTATGTATTTGTCAATGACGGCAGAAAGTTTCGAATTGGAAGATGCAACTGGTGAAAGTATTGTATTACAAGAACAACTTCAACAACAAATAGCTCAAGAACAACAAATGCAACAAATGGCAAGAACAACAAAAGTCAAGAATAAAAAAATATTTTTTTTTATTTTTATAAAAATGTACAGAATAGACGTTTCAGATTTTTATGACTTCCAAGCGTTCAGAAATATGTGTCCATTTAGAGACTATAACAAAGCAGTCGAGAATTTGAAACGTTTAGTCATTTATGTCGACTCTGCCCCAGAATGTTATGTCATGAAAGAATGGGATGTTGTCTTTAACAAACCAAGAGCGACAATAGTTTCAGAACAAGAATGTAGACAGAAACTTAAGAAAATAAAAGTCGTACAAGTTGGTATGAAGATGTTAGATGCTTGGGATATCTTATTGTCAAAGTTAGAAGATTTTTCAGTTCGTGGTATAAAGTTCTATACACCTTCTCCAAACTTCTATTCTATCTTCACTGGATATAAATATGAACAAGTAGAATGGAAAGAAAATGTTATAGAAGCTTGGTTAGACCATGTCAAAGAAATTATATGCAATGGAAACGAAAGAGTCTATGAGTATATCTTATGTTGGTTTGCAAACATCTTACAACATCCAAGTGCTAAAAATGAAACTGCTCTCATTATAATTGGAAAACAAGGAACTGGTAAGAATACTTTCTTTACAGATATTTTGTGCAAACTGTTAGAGGGCTATTCGAATCCGAATATGACAAACTTAGAAAACATCTGCGGTAAATTTAACTCTTCAATAGAGAATATGAAACTTATAGTATGTAACGAACTTCAAAGTATAGATACAACAAAGGTTTTAAACTCAGATGCTTTGAAGAGTCTTATAACAGATAAAGTTGGAGTTGTTGAAAGAAAATATAAAGACCAAAGAGTTTGTGAAAATGTTGCAAATTTCATCATGGTTTCAAACAATGTTGTTCCGATGAAGTTAGAAAGTTCTGACAGAAGATATGTAGTTGTCAGAACGTCAGATTCTCATATGCAAGATACAGAATATTTTGACGACTTAGCAGAAACTTTGACACCTAACTTTTACAACCACTTGTTCTCATATTTTATGACATTAGATATTTCTAACTTCAATCCAAGACAAATTCCACATACCGAAGAAAGACAAACATTGTTAGAAGCAAACAAGAGTGTTTATGAACTGTTTATAGATGAAACCGACTTTGAGTGTTTAGATGAAAGGTCATTGTACGATGAATATAAACAGTATTGTCAAGAGTATGGTTATATGGCAGCTTCTAAACGTACATTCTTGGCAAATGTCAAAAGTCTTTTAGACATACAGAACGGCGTATATACAAAGAAAAATTTTTCTGAGTAAATTTAAAAAAAATATTTTTTTATCCGATAGAAAAGATGGCAAAATTCATCTCAGTAAATAAGTACATGACAGAAGTCAAAGAAGAACTAGACCCATTCATATATTTGAATGTTTACTTCTACCATTTTGAAAAGTCTACATTTGACAAAGTTTGGAACATCGAACCAGTTAAGTTTGCTATTGTGACTAAAAATGGTGCGAAATTTGAAGACTTAGACATAGAAGGTTTGTTAGCAGTCAAAGAAAATTTTGACAGAAGGTTTTCAAACCTTAAAGAAGGCAAAGCATACAAACTTGTTATACCTTATGAACCAAAGAAAGCAGACGACTATGAATATTATGAGTCTAAGATAGTTGAAGTTCAAGGTAAATTGGGTAAAAAGATTTTAGAGTCTAAGCCAGTGTTTGCTCCTAAAGAGGAAGAGAACATTGACATTGACCCAGAAATGTTCTAAAAATAAAATTTTATTTTTACATGTCAAATTTCTTTTTCTCTGGCTCTGGTTCAGGTTCTTTTTTCTCTTCTTCTACTTTCTTTTCTTTCTTCTCTCTCTTCTTCTTCTTTTCTGGTGGAGTTATGTCAAATTTCTCAGAACCATATTTATGTAAAAGTTCTTTGTCCTTTAATAGCTCTTCTATTCTGTTTCCTATTTCATCTTCAAGAACAGCGCATGTGTCTTCTTTGCATTCTAAGAACTTTTGTTGGACTTCATCTTTCCAATCGGTGTCATCTCTGTCAACAAGTCTGTCATTGACAAATTTTAAGACTGCTCTTTGTAATGTTTTATGGTTCTTGTCATATTCCCAGAAACAGAACTTTAGAACAAATTCACCTTTCTTGTTTACACTATGTAAGATTTTATGGTCGACAGATGTTTTGCTGTCGAAAAGTTTGTCTCGAATATAGATAGCGAAATCGCTAGACATTTTCAAAAAGATAAAAATTTTAATTTTTCTAAAAATATGTTAGAAAAAAAGTTTGCTGACATTGACAAGAAATTTGAGAATGTTTTAAAGAAGAACAAGAGAAAGTTAGAAAATGCTCAGATAAAACCCATACATGACAAGTTCTTATTTGCTCAGAATGGTATAACAGGTCTAATTGCACCACCTGGGTCGGGTAAGACTTTCACTTATCTTAAAATGGCTGCACAACAACAAGAACTAGATGAGAAGAACCCATTCTATGAGTTAGTAGTCATTTGTAGTACTTCTGGTCAATTCGATCAAACCGTCAATTCGTTCAAAGATATTATAAAGAAGTCTAAGTTAGTATGTATAAAAGACTCTGAGTTGTTAGATTGGATAAAGAAGTACCAAAGAAGAGTTTTGAAGTACAATGCTATAAATGAGTATGTCAATTCGAAGTTTAAAGACCCAAATGAGGAAATGCAGAGAATATTAGAGAAGAAACACTTCAGAAACAAACAGAAAGAGATAGAATACATTTCGAAGAAATTGCAATCTTACGATTGGAAGACTTACCCTCATAGATGTCTTCTTATCTTAGATGACTTTGCTTCTCATCCTTTGTTAAAGAACAGAGAACAAGATATGTGTCGAATTCTTAAGAAGCTCAGACACTTTAACATCTCAGTTGTCATTTGTGTACAGACAGCAAAGAGTTTAAGTAAAGATGTTAAAAGAATACTTACTGACATTATACTTTTCCCTGGATTGTCCGAAGACGATTTCATGGAACTTATGAAAGAGTCCATGGCAGGTAAGTTTGACAGACATGAACTATGGGAGAAGTACAAAGTCATACAAGACCCTCATACTTCTTTCAGAATTCATATCTACGCAAACAAAGTTCAAATTGTAAAAAGTCAAGCTTGAAAAATAAAGAGTTTTGGCGACCAGGGTTTTTTCACTACTCGCTGTTCTTCTCTCGGTTTTTCGAGGGAAGCAAGCATATGAGGAAATTCATGAAATTTCATACGGAATTCAGCAAAAATATATTTTAGGTGAAGAGGTGAGATTTCACCTCTTTTTTCACCTGTTTTTTCACCTCAGTTATTTTATAAGCGTTTCACATGGTAAACGTTATTTTTTAAATTTTGTGAAAACTCAACGGTTTGACACAAGCCCTAAAAATTATTTTACTCAGAATTTTGTTGCTGAATTCAATAAAAATATATTTTAGGTGAAGAGGTGAGATTTCACCTCTTTTTTCACCTCTTTTTTCACCTGTTATTTTATAAGCGTTTTACATGAATTGTATGATGTATATTTGAAATCCTAAACAATTTCGTAGCTTCTATTTCTTCTGTCAGTACATCGAATGTTTTAACGATACCGAAAGTTTCTTTATACTTCTTCTTGACGTCAGATAGAAGGAAATCGTCAGCAGTTGGATAGTTTTTGTTCAGAAATGCTAACATGTTCATTTTATCTTCTGCTGGTTTCTCTACTTCTTTCTTTAAGTCAGCATAGTCGTTTCGCATACGTTCTATCTCTTTGACGGAGTAGTTATATTTCCTCATTGCTGCTTTACATTTTGAACATTGTGGGTTCATTTTAGCATTGTACATTGAAACCTTACCTGCTAAAACAACTAAGGCGTCAATTGCTCTCTTTAACTCAAAAGTTGCGGGTCTTATTTGTTCATTCCATATCTTACCTCTTCTATCTTTATCTCTTATCTGCCATACACATTTTGCAACTAACGAAACAAAGTTGTCGTAGGTCTTAAACTCCCAGATTTGTATATGTCAGAGATGTTCTTATAACCATATCGCAATCTTTGTCCATGACTTTGTGGTTGCAATGAAATCCAAGAAACTCATAGTTAACCTTTCGTATGAACTTCTTTATTTCTACTGAGTCAGTTGCTTTGACTTCTATTTCATCGAATTCTGGAATAGTAAGCTTTTTTGTTGTTGGATTTCAGGAAGTTTAGGTAGATGGTCAATAATGTCCTGCATTTCATAAAGATACTGTTCATTTGTTTCATCTTTCGCAGTGCAATCTAAATCTCCTTGAGAAGTTCTTGCTTTATCTTCTGGATTTTTGTTTCGAAAGTATATGAAGAAGGAATGAAGCTTTTCATCTCTACTAACATTGAAGTTGGGTTCATGACTAAAGAGTTTGGTGCTGTTGTTGCTAACATGTTCTTACAATAAAAATAAAAAAATATTTTTTTAAAAAAACCAACTTTATTTTTTATTTCGGGAAAATTCATGAGGTGAAAAAAGAGGTGAAAAAAGAGGTGAAATCTCACCTCTTCACCTAAAATATATTTTTGTCTGATTTACGCTCATTACGATGAAGTTTCGACAAAACATTTACGATGAAATCATGAAAATTCATGAGGTGAAAAAACAGGTGAAAAAAGAGGTGAAATCTCACCTCTTCACCTAAACATTATTTTTGCTGAAAAAGTGTCATTTTTTCATGTCCGAAGACTCGAAGGTGCAACACTTCCAAAATACCGACGAACTCAGAAGAGCAGCATGGCAGTATGTTCTTGACAACTTCTTTGAGTTCTCCAGGTACACCTTGGAAAATGCTGAAGAACTCCGACACAGAGAATTTGGAGAAATTGCACTCCAATACTACCTTGACAAACAAAGGGTAAACAAAGGGTAAAATAAGACTAAAAACTTAACGTTTAAAAAGTGACATTTTTATGAGCTCCGAGTCACCGAGAAAACTTGGTCAGATGTTAGCAGCTTACTTCCCTGAGGAGGATGGAAGCGTTACATACGTAAGGTTCAAAAACAACGAACCTGGAATTGCGTACCAAATTCGCAATTACATGACCATGGAAGAGTACGAAAGGTTCCTACAAGAGAAACCAGCTCTAAACAACTCAGAAAAGAAAGAGTAAAAAGTTTAACTCGTAATTGTTTATTTTTTTACTTGTATGGGCAAGCTGCAAGAATGAAGTCGACTATCTCGGTCTTTGTCTTGACCAGTTGGACTGCTCTTGCGAGTACGTCTGTTTTACGGTCTCCAGCTGGTGTCTGACCTTCGTAATTGCGCATGTTCTTGAGAGCTCCAACTGTAAATGGTTGTAGGATGAAGAGTCTCTCAGACTGCTTGAGGTAGTCGTCTCTGTCTTTGACCGAATCTGTGGTACGAGTCGAATCGGTCGACCTTAGGGAAGAGACTGAAAGCCTGTCATCTTCCATAGGGGCTGTGGCATACTCTTTGCGTAAACGGTTCAGACCTTCTTCGAACTCTTGGTCTCTCTTCGATTGGGATTGAGATTGGAATTGGGGTGGAGGGTTTGACATGAACATCCAAGGGTTAGGGAAGTAAGGCATGGGTTGAGGAGGGTAGTTTGGAAAGCCTTGTGGTGGGTAGTAACCTTGAGGTGGGTAGTAACCTTGAGGTGGAAATTGGTAGTAATTCGGAGGTCCTTGTTGGAACTGAGGTTGCTGTGGGTAGCCTTGTGGAGGTGGAACCTGTTGTGGTGCTGGAGCATGCTGTTCTTCTGGCTGTGGAACGGGTTCAGTAGGTGGGACGTCGGACATTCGTTTGTGTCTTAACCGTCTTTGTTCTGAAACAATATAATATTGTCTTGAAAAAGTACAACATTGTCTTGAATAAGTACAATATTGTCTTGAAAAAGTACAACATTGTCTTGAAAAAGTACAACATTGTTCTGAAAAAGTTCAACATTGTCTTGAAAAAGTACAACATTGTCTTGAAAAAGTACAACATTGTTCTGAAAAAGTTCAAGACTTGTTCTGAAAAAGTACAGCTGTACTCAAATTTGAGAGACATTGTTCTGAAAAAGTACAATATTGTCTTGAAAAAGTACAACATTGTCTTGAAAAAGTACAACATTGTCTTGAAAAAGTACAACATTGTCTTGAAAAAGTACAACATTGTCTTGAAAAAGTACAATATTGTACTGACTCAGTATGGAGCTTGACCCCTTAGACGAAGCAATTTATCTAATTGAGGTAAATGAAACCGTGAAGGAATATCTCAGCAAGTGCAAACCAAGCAAGTCCATTGGCTTCTGGTTGTCCAAGAATAGTGTCTTAAAGTTGGAAATTGAAACAGGTGTTGCAATTCAAGTTCCAGAAGGCACTGCATTCGATGATATTAAGGATGTGAAGAAAGAAGCCCTCTTGAAGTTCTTCATGAAACGTCCTTGGATACTACTTCCATATCGTGAGAGCCCAATTCCACGAATTACACAAATTCTCAGAGCACTACTTCACTACTCTGGACAGCCGTTCTTCATAACCTCAGAAGGCGACATCCAACCAATTCAGTAAACATCTCATTTTAACTTCACTTTTTTTATGTTTTTACTCACACTCGTACTCAACAGGTTTGTGTACAACTATTTCAACTGTGAACCTTGTATTGACCGGTCTTCCTGCAAATGCAAGTTCGGTCAATACACAATTTATGGTGGCAAGAAAGACAGTGGGGAATGTTATTCTGACATCTGTTGTTGCGCTCGAGAGAGAATTGAAATTCCAGACCCACCTCCCCCAAGAACTCCAACACCAACACTCAAGTTGCCGAAGACTCATGTGAAGAAGAAGCCTTCTGGTAAGTTTCTTATAGCCATCTATATGGCACGCTTTGAGTAAAAACATTTTTTTTTCTTTTTTGAATGAAGCAAGTTAAATTCGTCCCACACCAATCTCAATGGACCGATGAAGAGTTTCAAGCTATGGTTGAAGGTGTTGAGAACGACATAGACGGCGAACTTGAAGGAGCTCAAACCACAATTGCAACCAAAATTGCACAAGTCAAGGAACAGATAGCTCCACTTAAAGCTACCAAAGCTACTCTTGACCTCATGGATAGTTACCGTTTAGAAGTAAAGAGTGGAATAAGACAATTAAAATTAAAACTTCTAAACTACGAAGCTATACTCCAAAAGTTAGCAGAAATGAGAAGACTTTACCAGAGCTACTTACATGTAAGGGACTTACCTTCAAGCAGTCCGACCAAAGATGAATTTTCTGACATTGTCCCAATTTTGTCCGAAAGTCAGCTCAGATGTTTTGAACTGCTCCCAACATATCCAGAATATGAACGTTTGCCTGAACTCTTCCGCAATCTCAAAAAACGTTTTTTGGTTCTCATGTTCGAAACTTTTATCGGAAGAGACAACAAACGTTCAGAAGAAGAACAAGATATTATTTTAAACTTGTTGTATGACATAACCGTCATAACAAGCTTTTTGAAGTAAAACCGTCATTCTCAAACCACTTCATTTTTTCGATGTCCGAACAAGCACCGAAGCCGAACACAATGGCAGATGTCCTTTCAATGTTGCCAGACAAGCGCCCAGTTCAAATTCAAATTTTGAATTTGAAAGCTCATCTGACAAACACCGTTAAGACTCTCCAAAGTAGTCTTATGGAAGAGATGACCAAGCTCAAAGCCGATGTCCTCATGAACCAAGCTTCCAATGAGAAATGCCTGAATGATTTGACGGAAACCTTGCGCATTTACGCGAGAGAGAACCGAGACCTTGCCAGACTCATCTACCGTTTCTTCGAAGAGATAGACGCCATCTGGAAGGTACTCGGAAAGGACAGAACCTCCAACACCGTAATTCGTGAACACAGAATTGAAGAAGGAATTGTCGAGGAAGAAGAGAAACACGAAGAAGAGGAAGAGGAAGAAGAGAAACACGAAGAAGAGGAAGTTTGGGCAACCCTTGTTGCCGATGACTTACGAAATTTCCCAACCCTACCCATACCAAATCCGCAACAAGGAGACAGGCAAGGTTCTTACCCCAGTCCTCAACAACTTGGGACACTTGAACCTTACCCTTCGGAATTACGGTTCAATTCCATGGGCAAGCTTGTCGCAATTCAATGGGTTCCAAATCCAAACAAGAAGACGAAGGTCAG